GATTGTGGGGCTGGCGCAGGATCGGGCAGTGTTTCGTTCTGCTGTGCATGGGGTCGCTATGAGTCGGAAACGACTCGACGGCACTTAACAACAACATATATGTAATAGAGCTAACAGTGAGACAAAGTTATAATAACTTCTTAGCCACAACCAAACACCTTGAGGGAGTAAGTCACTGGGCCTGAGGGCTCGAGATTGTGGTCACAGAGGACATCAAGTTCAATTGGCATTACCAAAACCAAAAACCAAACTCACTGCCATCGAGTTGATTCCAACTCATAGCGACCCCCTTTGGGTTTCTGAGGTGGTAAATCTTTACAGAAGTAGATTGTCCAGTCTTCCTTCCACCGATTGGCTGGTGGGTTTGAATCGCCAGCCTTCTGGTTAGTAGTCAAATGCCTTAGGCACTATGCCACCACAGCTCCAATTGGCATAACATACTACACAAAAATTTGTTTTACCTCTTACTTTGGTGAATAGCAGCTAGGTTCTTAAAAGCTTGCACGCAGCCTCTAAGATGCAACTATTGGTCTCCCTTAATCCGGAACAAAGAAGAGTAAAGAAAATCAAAGACTCAGGAAAATAATTAGTCAAAGGGACTAGTGAACCATAGGAACCTCAGCTTACATGACCATAAAACCAGAAGAACTAGATGGTCCTCTTTACCACTACCAACCACTCAGAAAGGGATCAAAATGGAGATCCTAGATAGAGTGGGGAAAAAAATGTGGACCAAAACTCAAAATCATAAAAAAGACCAGCCTTACTGGTCTGATAAAGACTGGTGAAACCTTTGAGACTATGGCCCCTAGTCATCCTTCAGGCCTAAAAATGAACTCACTTCTATTGCTTGACTTTCAGCCAAACAATAGACAGGCCTACGGGTGAACAATTACACCAGGTAGGTACACTCCTCAGAACAGTCATGGGACATCAGAAGGGCAGCCTTTGCACAGAGAGAAAGCTCAGAGGGCAGGAATGTATAGAAAGGAAGGACACAGGGAAAAAGTAACCACAGGGAGGAAGTGAGAAGAAAGCTGCTACATTGTAGGGATTGTAGTTATCACAAAAGAAAATGTGTATGAACTGTTGAATGGAGAATGAATTTGCTCTGTAAAACTTTTACCCAAATCACAATAAAAACTTAAAAAAAAGAAAGAAAGAAAGAAACAGCAAAGGAAGACCAAAGTGCCCAGAAAGATCAGAGGCCTCCTGAAGGAGAATGGTGGAATGGAAGGCAGAGAAGGGAGTTTAGGATGGAAACTTCTGAACAGGATTGGTTCCTGTGGAGAGGGATTCTCAGATTTGGCACTTGTAAAGCCTTTGGTAGTCTTAATAAGAGTGGCTTCATTGGCGTGGTTGGGTGGAAGCCAAACTATCGCCTGAGAAATTAATCAAAAGAGAGGAAAAGGAGCAAGAAACATAGATTGCTTAGCTATGCAAGAAAAAATTAGCCCATTGGCTGGTGGTAAAGAGTTAATAGAGGGAAGGACTTGAGCCTGTTGGTAGATAAAAGCAGGAAGCTGGGAGAACAGAAAGGTCTGGAGATGTAGAAGGGAAGGGGATAATTGCTGGAACAAAGTCCAAAGAGAAAGAGGCAATAATGGGACCAAGAGCGCAGCAGGATGCTTGAATCCTGGACAGGCCACAGAATGACTCTTATGTTGACAGAAGGAGAAACAAATAAAAGGAGGGACAGAGAGGTAAACATATTATTGTCTTACTGGGCAGAAACTGTGATTGTTGGGAAGGCCCCTACTTTTTCTTTGAAGTAAGCAATAATAGCATCTGCAAAGAACATAACATGACTATAAAGCAGAAATGATGGTAACAACTTGTTTTATGTTTAGCTGGTGTACAGAGCTCCAGGCAATAAACAAAAATCAATCTTCACTTCAGTCCCTGATACACCTGATCTTTTAAGAGCCAAGAGAGGGCAGAAGCTTCAGAGCCAGGTAAGATCATCACTAACAAAGACTCATAAACTTGCGACACTCGGCCCTGTGTGTGCTTGACCACTCCTGGTCAGAATCAGACTCTCACACTTGCTTGTCCTTGATGCAGCTTCATGCACACTGACATTGCACTTCACGAAGCCGTTTTCTTTCCATCATCTTAACTATGGCTGTGCTTTACGTGAACCGCCGATGTTTTCTTTTCTAAGTGCTAACACAAATTTTGTCATTGAGTGAGTAGTCTGTGGACTCCAAGTAGTGAAAAGGAATGGCTTGATAAATTCCATAAGACTTGTTTGTTGTCCAAAAACAGATTAAACCACATTTCATTCATTCAGACAAAAGTTAAAAAGTAATCTTGAGGGCTCTCATAGAACCATCTCATTCTTCTGTCAACATTTTTTATCACATGGCTTTAGATTTAAGCTTAATCACCAGTAGGCATATTGGTTAACTGGAGAGTGTATATGTGTTTCCAACTGTGAGATACAGAGAGAGAGAGAGAGATGAACAGAAACACATACATCCAAAAATAAAAGCAAGAAACACACAACAAAAACAAGACAATAGCAAGTAAACATGCTGTTCCCATTTAAGGGCTAGAAATGAATAAAGAGGACTGAATACTAAATATTTCATCTCTATAACATCTCATGGCCATTTTCTGATTATTTAGTATCTGTACGTTGAACTTGCTACCAAAGAAAGACCCCATCACCATGCTGGCAACCAGACCACAGCCCTGAAACATGCTAAAGAAGTGAAGGACATGGTCAGCGAGGTAAGGTGGGAATTCAGCAATGAGGCACTGGGTTAAAGAAAAAATCCTTTATTAAAACCTTCACCTGTTTCCTCTGATCAGAGAACCCATTGTTATAAACTGTGCGTAGCATTAGCAAAACACAGAACGAAGGGCTGTTCTTTTCAAAGATATGGTACATTGTGTTCCTCAGCTGAATACTGAATACTCAGTTGACTGGGTTGTGAGTTGGGAGGGATGAGAAAGCTTGAATTTAAGAAGTCTTTCTCTTCCATTTCATTCCTCAGAAAAAGTACAAGATTCAATATGAGAAAATGAAGGACAAGTACACCCCAGTTCCAGATACACCAATCCTCATCAGAGCCAAGAAAGCTTACTGGAATGCCAGTGATGTATGCATCTCTTCCTTCTTTCTTCTTACAGAGAGCCGTGACTGAAGTACCTAAGAAACTTAAGATGTTACAGTCATAAATCCATAGTACAAAGTCATGCCCCACAAGATCAAGGGGAAAAAGAAAAAATAAGATTAAACAATGCATTATAAAATCAGGCAGAGTAGCTAAGGATATTAGTGAGAGATACTGAAAGCCTGTTGTTCTTCTTGTTGCTCTTCTGGGTAAAAATAAGATCCTTGATCCTTACCTATATTCTTTGGAAGCATTTCCTAGGGATTCTTGTCAACTAACTGTTACTCAGCCATAAAATCATGGGTTTGGAGTCAAACAAAAATTCAAACCTTGATGCTGTCACTTTTGTGCTGTATATAATTTACCTAATTTTTCTGTGACTTTGATTTCTCATATGTGGAATGAGGATGTTTGTGATAATTAAATTAGACTAGGCAAGATAATGTGCATGCCATTGCTAGCACAGTATGAAGCTCATGGTTGACACTCAGAAAACGTCTCTTCCTTGCCTTCTCTTCAGTGCCTAGACACAAATCATGTGAATGAAACTTTGGTTAGAATTAAGATGTGCAGACTTTCATTTCCTGTACCATGTGATCAAGGAAAATGCTGCCATTTAATGGCAATTAGATTTCCTGTTAATGAAAATATGGTATTAGTCAAGAATGGATGGCCAGTCCTTACCAGTTTTGTGTCTCAAAGCCCAACTCCAAATCCATTGTACCCATTACCAGAATCAGAGCCCCCAGAGAAGGATTGATTGCATATGTTGCTACTTGAACTGAGCTAAAAGTTCAAGCCAGCCCCATAAACACTCAATTTAACAATATTGCTCTAAGTTGTCAAATAATCTTAAGGCCATGTAATGATCCCTAAGCAGAAAGGTGAGAGGGTACAGCAAATTGGAACAATATCTCAGTTCCATGATTTTGTCTGAAATGTCATTTGGATCTGAGGAGACCATGCTAGTTGGAAAGAAGACAATACTAGTTAATGTTTAAAATATAACCTGAGCTATTACTTAATGGGTAGTGGGTTTCTGTTTCTGTGTTTTTTTTTTCTTTTGGAACTGGATAGTGGTGATAGTTGCAGAGCGTGACACATGTGATTAATGTCAGTAAATTGTACATTTAACACTGGTTGAAACAACAGATTTTTTGTGATATGTATTTTATAGTTAAAAAAAAAATTTAAACCACATTGAATAAGCAAAAAGCCACATGCATACATACATATACACTGAAAAAATTATATATTTCTTTTAAAATCTATCCCCTGGGATATTTTTAGTCTACTTGGGGCATCCCAATCTTTACTGCTTCAAGATTACCCTTGGATATTTTTTGGAACCAAGCTTAATCTGTAAGAACACGTTATGGGGGTGGCCACACAGTGAAATTTGCCCCAGAGGGCAGCCTCATCCCTGGCTCTGTCAGTGCCAATACTGATGATCTTAATCTTTAAAATAGTTCAGTGTGACAAGGGTGGTATCTGGCATTTAGTTCAACATATCTATTGTGGCTTTCCCCACATAAAGAGGTAAATGATTTTATGGGATTATTTATTTGAAAAACAGAGTAACAAAGTCAAAGAAAAGACATCTTTCATTATGTATTTGCTCAGCTACCAATTTGACATCAAAAGTAGACTGTTTAGAGAGATACCCATCTTGTGTAGATGAGCTGAATCTGTCATGATGTTCTTAGGTTAAAGTCAGAACTGTCTTCTCTTGATTAGGATCACAATTAAATACAATTTCAGGATTTCTATGTGGAAAAGGCATCTTAATACCAAGAGTGAGAAGCTAAATTTTTCTCCTCTATTCATGAACATAATGTGTCTTGGGCTCAATAAGGTTAGGTTTGTTGGTTTATTTCTCCACTTAAATGAGCCTTTTGTTTGTGTGTTTCATATTTAAATAAACATATTATTCAAAATAGTTTTGAATTTACAGAAAAGTTGTTAAGATGGTACAGAGAGTTCTAGCATACTCCACACCCAATTTCTCCTCTTGTTAGCACCTTTCCCTGAGCAGGATACTTTTGTCACAACTGACTTTAGGTGCTGTTGAGTCGGCTCTGACTCATAGTGATCCTATGAACAACAGAATGAAACACTGCCCAGTCCTGTGTCAGCCTCACAATCCTTGCCATATCTGAGCCTATCAAACTGACAGACTGACGGACGAGTTTAGTTTCTTAACTAAACTTCATACTTTATTTGGATGTCATTAGTTTTTCCCTTATTCCTTTTTCTCTCCAGGAACCTGAAATGATTTTTTAAATCCCTTTTAAATTTATTCATAAGAAGCCTAAGAGAGAAACTCAAGAGAGTTCAAGCTTAAAAGAGCTCATTTATTTGATTTAATAGTAATAATCCACATGCTTTTTCTCTTTCCAGCTACGCTACAAAGAAACATTTCAAAAGACCAAAGGGAAGTACCACACTGTGAAAGACGCTCTGGATATTGTTTATCATCGCAAAGTCACGGATGACATCAGTAAGGTACGTCCCTAAATATTTCTATTTGTGTTGCCTAAATAACCCATCATCATTTTAGCTTAGCATCCTCTAGTTAAACTGTCTGGCTAGAGACAGACTTTTTTATGTTAACTTTGGGCAAGGCTTTAGAGCTAGCTGCCTTTGTATTTTTACCACAGGTGAAGTACAAGGAGAACTACATGAGCCAGTTGGGAATCTGGAGGTCCATTCCGGATCGTCCAGAACATTTCCATCACCGGGCAGTCACCGACGCAGTCAGTGATGTGAGTCCTGAAATCTTCTACATTTACATATAAATTCATATTCCCATATGAGCTATGAAATCAAATACTGCATAAAAACTGATTAAACACCTAACTAGATTTTAGATCTTGTATGGATGTTTAAATCATAAAGCTCCATTACTAAATGAGTGAATTTCAACTTGGGTAAGGGAAGAATATATTAAAATTTATAATTCTAATTTTTCTTCTAAATATAAGCTATCATATTACATGATTGGAAATTTTATCACTCATTTAGGAAATAGCTTCTTTTTAATCAACTGAAAAGACAATTTATGAAGCAATTAAGGCTTATAACAATGCTCATTTAGAAAAAAATTTCAACTTTCTGTACAAAATTACAGCTGCCAAGCTAATGAGACACTTAGAAAATTTGCCTGTTAAATTTGAATTGCTTTAACTAGTATTAAAAATAAAAAGTTCTGTATTCTATATAACAATATATCATAAAATAAGCAGAAATCAGTATTACTAGAAACTACTTTGAAGTAATTATTTTAACACTTTCTTATTCCATATACTACAGGGGTCAGTGCTTCTGTTTGTCCCACTTGTACAGATCCTAGTATTTGGTGATAGATTCTTAAAACATTTTGATGATATTCTTCTTCTCCCAGATAAAATATAAAGAAGATTTGACGTGGCTGAAGGGCATTGGTTGCTATGCTTATGATACCCCTGACTTTACTCTGGCTGAAAAGAACAAGACGCTCTACAGCAAGGTAATCTACTCAAGGAGAATGTTCACATCCATTCAACTTATACTTCTGCCCACAGAAAGGATTAGAAGTGAAAAATTTGCATTTCATATTTCCATCCATGTTCTTACTTCTAGACCTTGTGATTGGAATGAACACAATGTGATTGGAGTGAACACAATGGTTCACTCTTCTTAAGAACTTGTTTAGTACTGATCTTGTTGACTATAGTCATTGTTTTGGTTATTTCTAGTGCTTGCCTGCTAACCAGACGGCTGGCGGTTCAAACCCACCAGCCACTCCTCGGAAGGAAGGTTGGGCAATCCTACTTCCGTAGTGATACTGCCTCGGAAACCCAAGGAGGGGTCGCTATGAGTCGGGGTTGACTCGACGGCACATAACAACAACAACAGTGCTGCTGTAACAGAAAATACCACAAATGAGTGGCTTTAACAAATGGGAGTTTATACTCTACAATTTAGGAGGCTAGAAGTCCAAGTTCAAAGTGCCAAGCTCTAGGGGCTGGGGGAAGGCCCCCAACCTTGAGCTTCAGCTCTGCCTCTTGCTTCTGGCCCACTGAAGCTAGAGGTGTGTCTTAACTCAGACAGCTGCTGGTTGCTGAAGATGACAAACCCAAGGTCAATGAATAAAATGTCACAGTCCCAACATTATCAAACAACATGGTAGGCCACTAGTTCAAATCCAAAGACAGTCCCAAGATTGGCAGGCAACATGGCAGGCCATTCACTTATGACTTGGCTAAATGCAGGATCCAAACTTGCCAAAAAGCTGCAGAGATCTTTCTCAATGCTTCTTATTTACTGGAAACAGACCACATCCCTAAGTCAGCTACTCAGCAGCTCCAGTAGATTCCATCAGGGAGTTGATTAGCAATCTCATCAGGGGAATAACTACATCCAGCTACCCAGCCTTTCAAAACCAGGCCTGGCCAAGATGACCCACAACTTAACTACCACAGTCATTTACTTGAATTATGTCATCTCATTACAACTACACATGGCTCTTCCAGAATTCCTCTCTACTTGTATGTCACTGGGTGATTTTACCTGTTAGAGCTGATAAGATAGCAAACATAAAGTTGGATTTTAGGCAAATTACTTAATTTTTATGGGCCTCATTTTCCTATTTACAAAATAAAGCAGTTGGATGAGCTTCCTTTGAATTCTAAAACAGGGGTTGGCAAACTTTTTCTGAGAAGGATCTAAATAGATCTAAATATTTTAGACTTTGTGGGCCACATTTGGTCTATCCCGTATTTTTTATTTGTGTTTTGCAACCCCTTAAAATTGTAAAAACCATTCTTATCTCATGGAACTGTTGAAAAACTTACGGTAGGCTAAATTTGGCCTATAGGTCATAGTTAGCCAACCCCTGCTCAAAAAATTATGATTATCTGATGAATTTCTAGAAAACTATATTCAAATTAATGGCCTAAAAATTTTCTTCAAGTGTACATTGTAAATACCCTCAAAGTAAAAACTAATCATTATAATAATAGAAACAAAGAAGAAATTGATTAGGATGTTTTGCCTAGTAAAAAAATAGATGTTTGATATCCATTCAATGGAGCTATTTTCTTGTATATATATTGAGGCTAGTTTTCAAGACATCCAGGTGAGTCTACCCTTCATTGCCCTGGCAAACAGAGTAAGAACTCATCAAATACTTGTTAGCTCTATGGATGAATTCATTGACACAATTATATGATAAAATGAATGATATGTCTCATTCTTAAGATAATCACAGCCTGCAAAATAATCACTTTCTATTTCTCTAGTATAAATATAAAGAGGTATTTGAAAGGACGAAGTCAGATTTCAAATATGTTGCTGACTCTCCAATCAATAAGCATTTCAAGTATGCAACTCAATTGATGAATGAGGTATGTCTGACCTGCTCCAATTAAACCTATTTCGTTTCCTAAAGAGGTCTGTAGAAATATTTTATTAAAATCAAATACATAAAATGACAAGAAAGCCATTCTAAGTGTTGATTTACTTAGATTTGGAAAGACTGTCACCATAAAGTGTGCTCTGCAAAAACCGTGAATAAGAACAAGTGAAGGGACCATCCAGTGCAGTTTAAGAGCCCACAGCCATCTGTGCCTCTGTTTACACTGACACAGGGCATCATGGCTCTGTTAGTGATAAGACCAAGGAGGTAAAGGATTTTACTATCAGTTGAACTCCTTAAAATAATATTGTGAAGGTCTGGGAGGCCCATAAGTTCGAGGTTATTTTAGTATCTCCTACCAAGGCCCTGATATAACAGTGGCTGGTTGAGCCACCCCTAAGGGGGTTGCTGTTTTTACTCCCACATACATTGGTACAAAAAATATCTATTTTCCACCAAAAATTTTCCTTTGTCTTCTACCCAGCTCTTCCTGGAACTATCTCTGCAATAATTAAAGTTAAATTTAGCTCAAGATCACCGAAATACTCAAAGTATGAATTTAAGTATGCTTGAATGGGTTTATATTTAATTTCCTATTTTCCAAGAATTTATAAGGTCAAAAGCAATGTTACAAAATTAGTAAAATGTATCTAAAAATGAAAATGTGTTCAATGGCATATTTGTTTCAGTATATGACTTTGTTATCATTTAACTTGATTTAGTTCATTTTTATTAGATTCCAAGACCGGACAACACTGAAGAATCACCGTCAGTGTCTTCCCAGGAAGACAATCTTGACATATTTTGTTTCTATTTTTCTCTTTCTCATTGGATTTCCAGGTCTCTTTTATAATCAAGTAAAATAACTAGACTAGGAGACTCAGAGTTTGTCTGGGGATGTTTTATCATCAGTTATGCTTTTTGATTCTCATAGCCTTAGATAGTAAACCTATAGCATATCTGTAGCTTATTTTAAATACAATGTAAAATTCCATAAAATCTAACATCGTTAGTGGCATCATAGGTAAAGATGGAAACTATTTAATCACAGATTCTATCATTTCAGTGCTCTAAAGCAGATATATCCCAAGGCCCAGGCTTCTCTAGGTGTTCATCCTGTACTTGACTCTCCTTGCCTTCCTGTTTTAGTGACTCTGAATGCTTTGGGAGCCTACTTCTAGAAATGACATGGTTCTAGTTGTCTGGAGTGGGACATTTTTGTGTACTCTTGAAGTTGTACTCTTATTATAATTTGATATGATGTTTGAGCAGAAAAAATACAGAGCTGATTATGAGCAGCGGAAAGATAAATACCACCTGGTGGTCGATGAGCCTAGACATCTGCTGGCTAAGACCGCAGACGAACAGATCAGCCAGGTACTGTGCTGGGGTTGGCCGGACAGCCGAGACAGGACTGTGTTCCGAGTTTCTCACAAGATGTCGTCCCGTCTGCTGCAAGGATGTCATAGGTTCTGCCTATGATATTGGACTGTTCTGTTTCAAAGTTCTCTGTCTAGCCACCCAAAAAGCCCATGAGCTATTTGAGTGTGCCAGTCCATGTGTCCTCACTTGTGCTGTGATGAAGATAAAAATAAAGGTGGGGCCCTCCCACCTTTTCTCCTTCTGGAGGGCCTATTTATAAACTGCAATTTCCCCAGGTCAAATTACATTTTGAGTTGCAAAAGCAAAAAACAGAAAAACAAACTAATGGAAAAAAAAAAAGAATTGCCTTACTTACTATATTGTTTTATTCCTATGATGTCTTCTTTTTTATAAGGAAATTTTGGTAGTAACATAAGTAACATAAGTGACTTAGCTGTATCATTCCTAATTGGCAAGGACTGTGAATAGTTAACTGCAACTCATTCTGTTTGGCATTATATTTGGTGTCTTCACACACACGTGAGGAGAGAAAGTATGTCTGCCTACATCTCTTCACTCAGAGGTGACTGGGATATAGAGCCATGTTTCTTTTTTGTCTTCATAAGTCTCTTTTGTGCTTCACTGCTCTTTGCATGGACAGAAAAAATATAAATCTAGTGCCAAGATGTTTCTGCGACATGGATGTAATGAAATTCTGCGTCCAGATATGTTGACTGCCCTCTACAATACACACATGTGGAGCCAGGTAATGTCTGATGTGATGTGAAGATGGTGACTTAGGAACCTTTGGGTGCATTCACTTTCATGCTTTCATTGATTTCCTCTCCCTGCCCTGCTCCATGCTGGTCTCCTATGACAAAGGTGCACAGATAATTCATTCCTTGTAAAAGAGCTCTGGATGTGGCCAGGTGTGATGATGTTGCAGCCATCACCTGTGCAGTGGCCATGGACCACCACTTGACACTTTTGAAACTCTTAGTAAGATTGACTGTGATACTTTCAAATTTTCTTTCCAAATTGACATAACATTAATTTATATATTTTTTTTCAGTATTTGCCCCAAAGAAATAGAGTCCTTAGTGATTGAGGATAAGTAAATGCAATAACATGTGATAAATCTAATATTTGATGTTCTAATCTAAATTTTCTACTGCTCAATTATCACAACTGTACCATTTGGGAGAAATGAAGGTTATAATGCAGCCCTTTGAATATTTTACTTATCCATGGCCCTTCTTGAGTTTGATACTGAATTTACTAGGTTCTTAAAGGAAACTTTCCAGCCTATCTATTCTCATACACACTTGTAACATTGCTGTTAAGAATACCTTATTCCTGCAAGGCCCATTGAAATACATACTACTGCTTTTCCATCACTGAATGAAATGTAAATTTCTAACAGCAACAAACAGTGGTGATTGGTTAACTACCAGATACACTATTATGAAAATACCATTGTTTTAAGATGAAAAGAAGTTTTAAATCAGTATTTTGCACTAGCAACTTGTTTCATTATTTTAGTTTGCCATCACATCAACATGTGAAGTAAAGGAAATGAGCTCTGCCTAGGAACATTCTGCTAGCCTGAACTTTTTCTTTTCCCTGATATGATTATCAAATGGTTATGCATGAAATTTTGTTGGCTCCTTGTATCTGTACTGCTTGGAACAGCTTATGGGCATGAAAAAATTCTTGTGACCTAGAAATGACAAAAACAAATGCAACTTAAAATACAATAAATTCTTGAGATTCATTCTTTTATCTCATATTTTTACATCTGTTTGATCTTTGATATGGGAAAATCCTTTAAGAGTCATACATACTGGATGCAATGTGTTATAAGTGAATCAGTATTGGACAAAATGCAGAGAATAAGATTCTAGTTCTGCTTCTGAGATTCACTTGACATATGTGCCCTTGGGTCAGTCTCTTAACTTCTCTGAGCCTCAGGGCCCATGTGTATAAAACACTTTAAAATGGATCAAATGACATTTTAAGATGTCATTGTTTTCTTTGATTATTTGCTCACTGCATTATACTATTGCCATTGATTACAGACTTTTATTAAACATTTGCAGTGAGAATTTAAAGAGAATGCTACCACAACACTATCTCCTACATCAGTGACATATAATAATCCTATAATTTTCTATGCATACATAATTTTCACTCAAGAAGAAAACTTGATTCCCTAAAGCCCTCTATTCTATTTCTTATTACTAAATCTTGCTTCTCTTTAAAATTTAGATCAAGTACAGGAAAAACTATGAAAAATCAAAAGACAAATTCACCTCAGTTGTGGACACTCCAGAACACCTACGGACTACAAAAGTCAACAAACAAATCAGTGATGTAAGTACGAGGATCACTGAATGGATTCAAACTCTGGGCATTTACAAGAGTGTTGGGGAGGGTTTTTTAGATTGTCACAACGCCTGGGGGAGTCTACTGCCACGTAGTGAGAGATCATCAGGGAGACTAAATGTCCTACCATGCACAGGATACTTCTTTCCTAAGAAAGAATTATTCCAACCAAATTGGCAGATACCTCAGTCTGGGCCTTAACAGAGAGCATGAAAGACCTGTTGAGTATAGAATTCTCTTTTCTTTATACTTTTTTTTTTTTTTTCAAAAATTGCATCTACATTGTAAATTGAGAAACATAATGTGTCTTTCTGCTTTTTAATCTCCTTCAGATACTCTATAAACTGGAATACAACAAGGCTAAACCCAGAGGCTACACCACAATTCATGATACTCCCATGTTGCTTCATGTGCGCAAGGTTAAGGATGAAGTCAGTGATGTAAGTCTCTCTCATCTTGTCCTCTTTTTAATGTTACATAACAAATCCTGATCCAGTAATCTATTGCTGCATAAGAGCCAATCTAAAATTTAATGGCTTAAAATAACAATCAATGTATTTTGCTAGGCAGTATGTATATTCCTAGGCACAATGAAATGGTTCTTCTATTTCATGTGATGTTGTCGGGCATTTGAGACTCAGTTGGACCAGGACAAACTGGCTCCCTCACATGGCTCACTGATGATGGCTGTTGGCTGGGAGCTCAACTAGGGTATAGATGGAAACCCCTACATGTGGTGTCTCCACGTGGTTTGGACATCTCACAGCATAGTGTCTGGGTTCCAAGAGGGAGGAAGTAGAAGCTTCTAGGCCAGTTAAGAGCTATTTCTAGAATTAACACTGTGTTATTTCTCCCACATTCCACTGGCAACAGTTCCTATTTAGATTCAAGGGGTGAGGAGATAAGTACCACTGCTTGATAAACCTAGATGTGGGCAAGGTCACAATACAGAAGAACACATGGGATGGGAGATGTTGTTGAGGCCATCTTGGGAAGTGCAGTGTACCACAAATCCCTATTACTACTCTATTAATTTATTTTTACTAAGAACAAAAAAAAACAACTCACGGCTGTCGAGTCAGTTCTGACTCACAGCCACCCCTCCTTGGGTTCCCAAGGTGGTATCTCTACGGAAGTAAATTGCTCAGTTTTCCTTCTGAGGAGTGGGTGGTGGGTTTGAACCACCAGCTTTCTGGTTAGCAGTCAAATGCCTTAGGCACTATGCCACAAGAGGAGCAAGATATTCTAGTACTCTAAATTAGGGGAGAATTTATATTCATACATATTCAGATATATAGCTTGAGGCTGTAGTTTAAAACTATCATCATTTTGGTTGGGAGAAAAAAAAAAAAGATTTGAAAGAACTTCATGGCTACATGAGCTGTTGGACACCAGAAAGAATAAGAAAGACAACTGTGAATGATTGTCCCTAACCCAAAGCCTTGACTGTGGCTAATGTTCAGGAATTCTTTGATAGATAAATAAATATTTCCACACTTTTGGCCCTGCATCACCCTGAAAAATGTTAAATACACTCGATACATTATTTAAGAAGACAGAAATGTATTAAACATTTTAGAAATATTTTAAAAATGTTAAAATAGTTGCTGGCACTTAAATATGAATATCAATTGTTCATAAGAATCTGTGAGGTTGATCCCTTACATGAAATAACTCATTCCTTATCATTACCAAAGAAATGATACCTCCATCTCCTTAAACTTTGCTGATTGTAAGAATAACTTGCAGTGTTGATGAAGATATCAATTTCTAGGCATTTCCCCTAATGATAGTGAGATACTGATTTACTAAGTTTTATGGATTGAATTGTGTCCCCAGAAATATGTGTTGTAAGTGCCCACCTGTAAAGCTATGGTTATAATCCCATTTGGGAATGAGTTGTCTGTTATATTAATGAGGCAGGATTAGCATAGGGTGTGCTTTGACACAGTCTCATACAAGATATAAAAGGAGCAAGCAGATATGGGGGAAGACAGATGCCAAAGCACATAGAATCAGAAAATCGCCAAGGAATCAGGAAGCAGAAACAAAAGAGACAAAGATCTTTCATCTTGGTCTAGGGTAAATGCTTACTGCTTGGTTTCATTTAGATGATAATTTAAAAGAACACAGTAGTCAGAGGTAATATTATTTATTTTATGACCCAATCTGTCATTTGACTGAAAAGTGTCCTCTGGGAGTGATTTGAGTTCTGAGTTTAAAGGGTATCCCAGGATAATAAGCTCAGGGTTTCTAGGTCCAATAAGTCTGGCCTTTTTTCAGGAATTTGAGTTTTGTTCTGCATTTTTCTCCCATTCTAACCAGGACCATCTATTTTGTCCCTGGTCAGAATGGTTGGTAGTGGTAAGCAGGCACCATTTTGTTCTCCTGGTCTCAAGGTAGGTGAGGCTGTCATTTGTGTAGACTGTTAGTCCTATAGACTAGTTTCTTTTTGAGTCTTTGGTTTCCTTCTTTCTCTTTTACTCTGGATGATGAGAGACCAATTATTGTGTCTTAGACGGCTGCTCACAAGCTATATTGTACCAGTTGATTGAATTGGTACTTAACTATGGTCTTAAGTCCTCAAACCCAGTAAACCAATCCAAAGAGATATTTGGTTATATCTAGGAAGTAATTGTAACTGTGTCCCCATGTGCTTTAATTTATATATCAATATATATGCAGCAGGGAGCTCTGGTAGTGTAGTATCTAAGGCACTTGACTGCTAACCAGAAGGCTGGCGGTTCAAACCCACCAGCCACTCCTCAGAAGGAAGAGGGGGCAATATACTTCCGTAGTGATACTGCCTCAGAAACCCAAGGAGGGGTTGCTATGAGTCGGGTCTGACTTGACAGCACATAACAGCAACAACACAATATATGCAGCACACAGGAACATGTATACATATATGCCTAAAGACACACCTATATATGCATATCTGTTTATTCATATGTGTCTTCCTATACATGTATGTCTATATAACCACACACTGCATCCTTTCTTTGTTGTTGTTGTTGTTTTATTTGCCCTCAAGTCGAACCCAACTCATAGTGACCCCTCCTTGGGTTTCTGAGGCAGTATCACTATGGAAGTAGATTGCTCAACCTTCCTTATTTCCCCCATCTTAAGGAGCAATTGTATACTATAACTACGATTTAAATTTTTTTTTTAAGTGCTTAATGTTGTTGTGGTTAGTTACCATCAAGTCAGCTCCAATTCATGGCAACCTTACGTACACAAAACCAACCAAACTCACTACTGTCAAGTCGGATCTCACTCATAGTGACCCCTCCTTGGGTTTCCAAGACGGTATCTCTACGGAAGTAGATTGCCCAGTCTTCCTTCCGAGGAGGGGCTGGTGGGTTTGAACTGCCAGCCTTCTGGTTAGCACTCAAGTGCCTTAGGCACTACACCACCAGAGCTCCTGACATATAGCAGAAAAAGATCTTGCCCAATCCTGTGCCATCTTCATTATTGTTGGTATGCCTAAGTCCATTGAAAACCCTTAGTAGGCTGCTATAAAAAAAAATGAACTTTGTCACTGTGTTTCCTCCCACAGCTGAAATACAAAGAAGTTTATGAGAGAAATAAGTCTAACTGCACCATTGAGCCAGATGCTGTTCATATCAAAGCAGCCAAGGATGCCTACAAAGTCAACACCAATGTAAGTTCCAGAACTTTCTCCAAACCTACTGGGGGCATTTATCAGCTTCTGTGGGACATGTGGCCTCTTTTCACATCTCTTCAGGTGGTTGAACCTCAGTGAGTCCAAATGAGAAGTTAGGCCTCAGGAGCATGGGACAGAATCTAAATGCTGCCTTTGGTCTCACAAAGGAGCATGGGAAAGAGAAAAGGTGGTATAACCCTGTTCCTTGAGGTTGCAGCCACTGCTTTTGGGTCAGGTGACTTAGAAAGAGGAGATTTATTTCCCAAATGAAGGTTGTGTTTTGGAAAGTGCCTCTATATCTTTTATTCCTCTTCTTGGCACTTTCCTCCTATACAAACTCTAGAGCCTTGTTTCTTCTGAAAGAGAAAACTGTTTAGCCACTTGGTGCTGTCAGGATTTGGCCGAGACCTTCCTCTCACTTAGATACTCCTGCACTATCTCATTTCTTTGTGGTGGAGCATCTTAAACCCTCAACCACAGAAACACTGTTATGCATTTAGATGAGCACTGACTTTTAAAATATATATATATAAATAATTAGTGTAATAAAACCATTATAACCCAGCTAGGTGCCCACTAGTACATACTAGAACATGTACTTATTAAGACCAATGAACTGAAATGCCTTTAAGAACTGACAAGTAACGTAAAGGTGGCCTGAGAATGGATTGGGTAGAGGGGTAGATGTGGGATAAAGCAAATGATGTCAAATGTACATTGTAGAATCCAGGTGGTGGTTGTATGAATATTGACTGTTACATTCTTGCAACCATTTTGTATGTTTGAAAATTTTCACAATTAAATGAAAGCAAACACTTTCAAATTGTACATGAAAAGTATTTACATTTTATAGTGCATAAATGAAGCCTCAATTAAAAAAGAAAGAGGAAAAAGTGGAGGAAGACATGTGCCTGATAATGCAGGACCTTCCCAAGGACACTCAAATTCTATACACTGTGCTGGCTAAACAAAGCCCTTCTGTGGCTCATATTTGGCCCTAGGGCAGCCAGTTTCCAGCCCAGATCAAACTCTAGCACTAGCACCTCCAAAGTCAGACAGCCTGGGTTTGAATCCCCACTCTGCCATTTCCTAGCTGTTTCACTAAGGGGACAGGTCACTTAACCCCTCTAGGCACTTCCTCAGCTGTCTATTTCATGGGTTGTTATAAAGATTAAACGAGCTGGTATTTATAAAGCACTTAGAAAAGCATCTAACACAAAATAAATGCTACATAAGTGTTTGATGATTTAAAATAAATAAATTAATTAAGCCTCAACTTAGAAATGGAAAAGAACTTGACTTTGAAGGTGATTATGCTAAACTGGCAGAGTTAGATTGTAGAATTGTTTCATCTAGAGACCTTTTCAATTTTAATCTCTCTCTGTTTTGGAGTCCCTAGATGAGCAAAGGGTTAATGTGCTAGCCAAAAGGTTGACAGTTCTTCACCCACAGGTTCTATAGGAGAAGGGCCTGGTTGCCTATATGCCATAAATCAGCCACTGAAAACCCTGTGGGACACAGTTCTACTCTGATGCACATAGCTACCATGAGTCAGTTGACTGACTAGACACTGGATAGCAACTGTTTTGGTTGGGTGTTTTTGGTTTTGTTTTTTGCATGGGGAATCTAAAGGATCCTATAAGATGACCTCTTGAGTAGCTGACTAGTTGCAGAAATTGTACAGAAATTTTGATTGGACCTTTCTCTTGCATTAAGAACTGGTATATTCAAATGCAAGAGGAGTCCCTGTGTGCTGTGTGTTTATGAATTTTGCCCCTTGAATGAAGGGATTCCTTTTCATCTTGTTAAAAAACAGCTGGACTACAAAAAGGTGTATGAAGCCAACAAAGCCCACTGGAAGTGGACTCCTGACCGACCTGACTTCATCCAGGCAGCCAAGGCATCCCTGCAGCAAAGTGATGTAAGACAGAAGAGGCAATGACAATTTTAACTACATGACATACCTGAGAGGGGAGAAGAAAAAGTAACAATCACTCGAAATAACCATGGTGGTAGATGTTAACCCTATCTCTACAAAGAGTAGTGGGCTTGAGAGGCGTGGAAGACCAGCTCAAGAGACCAACCTGGCCACAGAGCTTGTCTAACTGCTGAGCTCAGATCCAAACGGGTCAGAGCCCTAAATGAAGCTGGGGAGAACTGAGAGGGAGAGTACACTAGGGTGGCTTTGTCCTAGAAGCTGGGCTGGAAAGAAGGGGCCCAGTAGGCAATGAAAAAGACCAGGGAACCCTTCTCTCATTCTGGTAACAAGACCTCATATGACCCTTAAAGGGAGAGCATTCCATGGATTTAATCAGATGCTCACTGTCCTCTTGTGCCTGGGACACTTGCCCATCTTCCTCTTCCTTTCTTCTGTTACAGTTTGAATATAAGCTGGACCGAGAGTTCCTCAAGGGTTGCAAGCTTTCTGTCACTGATGATAAAGACATGGTGCTGGCTCTGAGGAATTCTTTGATTGAAAGTGATGTACGTATCCAGTGCCTTCCATCTTCTACACCACAGTCCCCAGGAGCACCCAGGAAAGGGTGGGGGGGCTGCTCCTGCAGCAGCTCAGGTGTAAATCTGAAATATGACTCTGTCATGAGAGGGTACCAGTGACACTGCAGAACAGGAGCAGTGCAAAGGCTGTTACATCCAAGGGATCATTGTTGATTTATGCTGCACCTTAAGATAGTCATGTGGCAAGGATTAGGAATGTGAAGGCTTGCTTGGATTTTGAATTGAAACCTATTTATAGGATTGTAGTTTTCTGATGTTGTGGTTACCTCATCTGGAACCAGGCTAGGAGGACAGTCAAATGACATATTTGAAAATGCTTTGACCTAAAGGTCTATGTATAAAGATTCATCCTGAGATCTATTTTGATTGCTATAAAAGACTCAATTTGCCAGAGATAAAGAGACATTTCCTTTCATTATTTTTCTTGAGATTTCCCAAACACTAAATTTTCTGTTGAGTTTTAAGAAGCTCTGGTAGTGTAGTGCCTAAGGCACTTGACTGCTAACCAAAAGGCTGGCAGTTCAAACCCACCAGGCACTCCTCAGAAGGAAGAGGGGGCAATCTACTTCTGTAGTGATACTGCCTCGGAAACCCAAGGAGGGGTAGCTGTAAGTCAGGTCCGACTCGACGGCACGTAACAGCAACACAGTATGTCAGAAGGAATTCTGGTGGCATAGTGCCTAAGGCATTTGACTGCTAACCAGAAGGCTGGCAGTTCAAACCCACCAGCCACTCCTCCAAAGGAAGGTTGGGCAATCTACTTCTGTAGTGATACTGCCTCAGAAACCCAAGGAGATGTCGCTATGAGTCAGATCTGACTTGACGGCAAGTGAGTTTGGTTTGGTTTGGTTAGTATATCAAAGATGCTACTCTCTCAGCTATATCTAGTGATTTGAAGGCTAAATAAAAATATGCAGGATACACAGAAGACGTAAAGAAATGTTTTGTTTTGTTTTGCTTGTCTGCAGCTGAAATACAAAGAGAAGCACGTCAAGGAAAGAGGAAGCTGCCACGCTGTGCCTGACACGCCCCAGATCCTCCTGGCAAAGACTGTCAGCCATCTGGTGTCCGAGGTAACCTGTCCCACGGTGCTTATGCTCCACTTCCTTCTCTGGCTATTGCCCCAGGCAGGTGCCTTAACAAGCTCTCTGTGGATTCCCTCAGAACAAGTACAAGGACTATGTCAAGAAGCACTTGGCCCAGGGCTCGTACACAACACTACCAGAGACTCGTGACACTGTTCATGTCAAGGAAGTGACCAAGCATGTCAGTGATGTAAGTGAACAGCCAGAGGACTCTGGGCAGCAATAGTGCCCCTTTTCCTTAGATGGACTGTCAGCTGCTTATTTGCTTACAAATGCTTTCCTTTATGTAGCTTCCTTTTCACCATCAGTACTAATGTGGTTAAAAGAGAATTTCCAATGATGGCAATTATGGTAATCGTGGATTTGACCACAAGATGTATTATCTAGCTATGTGAGATGCTACTGGCCTAGTGGTGATGTGGGATGGAAGCACTGGTAGTTAAGAGTGGCCTCTCCTATCCTTACTCAGTAAAATAATTAAAAATTAATTAATTAATTAAAAGAACCAGTTTTAGTCGATTTGATTCCAACTCATGGCAATGCCCTGTGTGTCAGAGTAGAACTATCCTCCACAGGGCTTCCAATGGCATGTTTTTCAGAAGTAGAGTACCAGATCTTTTCTCCAAGATGCCTCCGGATGGACTCAAAGCACCAGCCTTTCCATTTTAGAGATGTACAATCACCTCTTTGTACTCCAGCAATCTCTGTCCCTGATCTCCTTACCAATAGCCATATTACTATATTTTGTGAGTTCATTATGGTTCCAGCTTTGAAAAAAAGAAAAAAAAGTAGAAATGGTAAATGAAAGAGTAGGATTTTTGCTTCTAGTCAGTTTCCCAAATTAGAACATGGGTTTTAAGTCCCAGACTGAGGTCAAAATGGGGATTTTTCTGGAGATCTTCTTAGAGTTCTTCAAGTAAATCCATTTTATTCCCAGCTTTCTCTACTCACACACATAATTCTGGCTCTGTTTAGACGAATTACAAAAAGAAATATGTCAAGGAGAAAGGAAAGTCCAACTACTCTATCATGCTGGAGCCACCAGAGGTGAAACACGCCATGGAAGTGGCCAAGAAGCAAAGTAATGTGAGTTCAGCTCTCCCACTGGATGCTCTCAGAGCCCTCTTTGAGCAGCAAAACCTAATCTGATGCTGCTAGGGCTTGCTGCAGTGAGTAGTTACCCCCACTTCTTCACTTAGTAGTTTAAAAACAAATGATGGGAATCGGCATGGTTTTAAGTAAAAAGGTGGCTTGTCCTTCAGAGAACTTTTTGAAAGATGATGTATCTCTCAAGTGAGTAATTGTTACCTTCCCCTATAAAGGTTGCTTACAAAAAAGATGCCAAAGAGAACCTTCATTACACCACAGTGGCAGATCGACCTGACATCAAGAAAGCCACACAGGCAGCCAAACAGGCCAGTGAGGTCAGTGTATGGCTATAATGTCCCCATTCCCCAAGGCTACTGCCAGCAAGTCATGCAATGCTCCGAGTCATGTTGAATGTATTGCCCATTTTTGGTTTTCTTTGATTCAGGTGGAATACAGAGCTAAACACCGCAAGGAAGGTAGCCATGGCTTAAGCATGCTTGGTCGCCCAGACATTGAAATGGCCAAGAAGGCAGCCAAGCTGAGCAGCCAGGTAATGTGGATGGACAAGTGACAGCTCTTAGGAGATACAAAGAACCTTGCAGGAGGAAGTGATTTCCAGAATAAAAGTGCAATATTAGCAACCAAATTGGCACTGGGCCTTTGATAGCACCACAGGCTTTGAAAAGTTTTATCATGAAAAATGTTTCCCTCTAACTGTCAAAAACCTTCTGAGTCTCCACTTTCCCATTTATGGGTATGTGTCTAAATGTCTGTGTGCTTAACAATCTTCATGTGACAAAAACATCAGTACATAAGGTCCTACTGGAATAACATCCCAAGTGTCTGATTCATACTTGAGTCATCTGTGGGAGATATGTTAACATGCAAGAGTTATGAAATTCTAACTTCTGGAACCAAACAAGATGTAGTCACATTTTGTGTTTCATTCAGCATAAATATATTAAGTTCCTGGGCTAGGAATAGGGATGACTAGATGTCCTCAGACTACATGTCTGTGTATAAATAATTACAATTTGGTATGATAAATGTTTGATAAAGGGATGCATAGGATGTTGAGGTGAAACGCTTCATTCTAGCAGATTTCATAATTATTGGAAAAAAGATGGACTCAGAAATATATTTACCAAACCTGGTTACCACATTACCTATTTTTCTTTGTTATTTTCAAATTATCTAGGATATCCTCATATTATCATAGGTTTCAATTTTTAGCTCACAGACCCCATGATCCACCATATCAAGTTACTCAAAGGGGCAAGTTTTGGTTCCCTAGAATTTGAACTCAAGAATATCTTATTTCTCTTTCATATTAGAGATACCACTTTCTTTTGTTCTCTCAAGTATTTGTTTGAGGAAATAGTTTGGGGTAATTTTGGTTGCTGTATGAACTGACTTTGAGCAATGCCAAAGATGGAATTCTAATCTTTTAGACTATATAAATTAGTAATGTCAAGTGATAGAACCTCAAAACAAGTTTGGAATTAAGAAGAGACAAAAGATTCAGATGATTGATTACAAATTTATATGTTTGTTATTATTATCATTATTTTAAAAGCCTACATAGTAGTATTATTATAAATTAATGGGTTTGAATATACATTTGAGAACAAGATATGAGATCATCACAAAAACGGTGGACTCTCTAAAAGTGATAAAACATAGTAAGACCCTATTAAATAAATTTTTTTATTATTTTTTAAGGTCATCCCATTATCAAATTAAAAACAAAGAAATGATTTTGAGGTTGAAATTTTGAAAACACTTTACTGTTTGTGTTAACCTAGGGGTTTATATTTCTAATAATCATAAGTGAATCTTATGGCATGGAGAATGAGACCCAACCAGATCCTTTTTATGAGCTTATCTTCCTGCATTTACTTCCAGTGAAAGACGGCCCCAGGATTCACAGTTTGGGTGTCTCCATGTGGCTCCTGGCCCAAGGGGGTTTCAGCTGCATATGGAGTGTCCCCATTCTGACTTTGCTGTCTTGCCGCGTACTCTAGGTGGAATACCTCAAAGACCAAAGGAGAGGGCACGGGCACGGCGTCGCATCTTATGACACCCCTATGATGAGGCATCTTAAGAAAATTAATGTGCTCATCAGTGATGTAAGACTGACATCAGCAAGCACATATCTCTGTCTTTCTCTTTTTCCTTGTCTCTTTTCTTGGCCTTGGTCAGATGACTGACCAAGTTGCACTTTTTTCTGTTGATTTTGTGTTGGAACATGTAGAATGCTGTGGAAATTTGTGAAAGGATCTAATTTTGCACACTATCCTCTTTTCCTGCATGAAACTTTCCCTCTAGAACAAGCCACTTGGAACAGGAAGATAGACTTCACTTGGAAAGAACTTCTCAATGTACTTTAAATGGCTGACAATGATCAGAGTAAAAGATGAGATGAAAACAGAGAATCTCATCTCCAATCACACAAAGAAAACTTTTGTTTCACCTGAAAATATTTACCACTGTTGTATTTAGTATATTTGGTATTAATATAGTCTCTCATTGAGGCACACTTTGAATTAATAGGACTAGGTATTTCAAAGACTTTCACTCACAGAATTTTTTTTTTTTTACCTTTTGTTTTATAGTGTTAAAAATAAGAAATTTTCTCATTGAGTGTTCTTGAGTCTTTAAAAGTACCAACAAAGAGAGGTGAAAAATTGGAATATTACACCTTTAAATGCAATTTATCCTTTGAAAGGATAATTAATTTAATATCGCTGTCCTACACTACAAGGAGCTCTGGTGGCGTAGTGGATGAGGCATTTGGTTTCTAACCAGAAGGTCAGCAGTTCAAACCCACCAGCTGCCCCATGGAAGGAAGATGGGACAATCTACTTCCGTAAAATTTATAACTTCAGAAACCTAATGGGGGTCTCTGTGAGTCGAATTTGACTCCATGGCAGTGAGTTTGGTTTTGGTTTTCTGGCCTATACTACAAGGAGCTCTGGTGGCATAGTGATTAAGGCATTTGGCTGATAACCAAAAGTTAAGCAGTTCAAGCTCGCCAGCCAATCTGCAGGAGGAAAATGAGGCAATCTACTTCTGTAAAGATTTATAGCTTTTGAAACCCAATGGGGATCACTATGAGTCAGAATCAACTAGTTGGCAGTGGGTTTTTTTTTCTCTCCTACCAACCAAAAAAACCAAACACACTGCTGTTGAGTCGGATCTGACTCATAGAGACCCCTCCTTGGGTTTCCAAGGTGGTATCACTACGGAAGCAGATTGCCCAGCCTTCCTTCCTAGGAGTGACTGGTGGATTTGAACCACCAGCCTTCTGGTTAGTAGTTAAATGCTTTAGGCACTACGCCACCAAAACTCCCTCTTCTCCTATACTACACCCATAATAGACCACTATCTGAGACTGGTGGGATTATAAAGCTCAGGTGCTGCTACTTGCTGATACATGACATTGCACAATTGCTGCTTAGAGTTCAAAGGGGGCAGGGGACACTTCACCATTACTTAAAAAACGTATGTATATAGTTTTACTATACTTGATGCCTGTTCAACACCCTTCTAAGAATTTCTGAGATTTTGAATTTGATGTGTGTACTTATTTTTCAAAATGGAGGTGATCCAAACTCAAGGAAGATGTAGGAAGAGTGCTATTACATTGAGGGGATTGCCACTAATGCCACGAACAAAAAAAAGGGGGGGAGGAGGGTGTTTAAATTGTTGAATGGGAAACTGATTTGCTCTGTAAATGTTCATCCAAACCACAATATTATTTTCAAAATAAGGGAAAAAAACATAGTACAAGGAAAGTGTTGATAATCCAGCCAAAAATTTAGGCTAAAAAGTGCTGAACACAGATTCATATGAGCAGTTATGCTGGGCTGCATTTGCATTTCCAGGAGCTTTCTTGAGGAGGAGTCCCTGGGTGGTGCAAGCAATATCGAAAGGTTGAAGGCTCAAATCCACCCTCAGAAGAAAGGCTGGGAGATGCACTTCCAAAAACTCCACCAATGAACCCTATGGACCATGGTTCTACAGGCATTGCCGCTGTCAGAAATGACTCAATGGCAATTGATTTTTGTGTTTGTTTTTTGGTCTTCTTGTACAGAGGGGAGGCCTAACTTTTTTAAAAATTAAAAAGTAACAAATTTAAGTTTACTTGACATGCACAGAAGAAAAAGAAATTGAAATGACACCAATGGATTTGCTACTCTTGGACTAAACACTTCTTCAGAAGAGCTATTATGTTCTCCAAGACACAAAGAAGACTTTTAACATCCTTCCAAAAGAAGCCAATTTTATTCTCATCCAAGATGGGCCTTTGTAGCTCTTCTTCCCTAGTCTGACTCTGTGCATCTGGTTTACTTTGCTCTTCTGTGTTTCACAGCGCTTGGGATCTTTCCTAAAAAATTTCCTTTTGGTCTAGACCCCAGCTCACCACCTCTGACTTTCCCTAGGAGACTTTGCATAGAGAGCAAATTTCAGTCAGAGAAGAGCCATTTCTAGCCTTTATTTAAATGTTGTTGTCCTAGTCTGTTGTGTTTCTGCTTCCTCCTTTGTGTGTCTTTCTCAGTGTGCCTGCATCATGCTGTTTTCTTCTGCATGCTTATTTTTTCCATGCATTTCCACTCTCAATTTATTCAAAGTAAATGAGTCTCAGTGTTGTGAATGCATTTTCTCTGATGTGGTGGATTACGTTGTTTTTAGCATTGGATTGGTCTCGTTTTTATGTCTGTTCTAATGGATATGTAAAGTTGCAGGAAGTGAAGTGTAGTGATGAAGTGTGAAGGGTCTTGAGCTTAAATATCTACAGAGTGACAGTGACGATGTGACTGGGTGACTGGATTCTGGAATGCTAATTTTGGATGAGTGAATCTTTCCTATTACCAGTAAAAGAAACTCTAGGTTTCCTTGAGAGTCAAATAATTAGCCCAGTTTCTTGGCTACAATCTAGAACCAGCTCATTTTTTATTCTTCCTAGAGTGAATCACTAGTGGAGCTCTGTTTCTGGATTTAATTCTGGAATACTGTTGACAAATGCATGTCTGTTTTTCAATAAGGCGATGTTTGCCACTTTTAGTTATTCCATTGAATTGTTTTATAAACAAATAATCTTTCTTAAGCTCTGGTAGCATAGTGCCTAAGGCACTTGACTGCCAACCAGAAGGCTGGTGGTTCAAAACCACTAGCCACTCCTTGGAAGGAAGGTTGAGCAATCTACTTCCATAGTGATACCAAGGAGTCTCTATGAGTCAGGTCTGACTCAAGGGCACATAACAACAACAAACATCATACTCTCATCATTCATTCATTCAATCAAAATACAACTATTAGTGTCAGGCATTGGAATTTTTTTTTCTTTAGTTGAAGTTATTTTGTCTTTTGCATAACCTTACTTTCATACATCCTAAAAATATATTTAATCTTATTTTTCTAATTATTCTGAAGTATCTCACTTCTTGTTTCTATTCTGACATCATACTTGAAGCCAGTCGCCCCCAAATTCTGTTCTATTTTTACTCAAAAATTATACCGTTTTTGTCAAGTTTTTAAAAATTAAATGGTATAGCCAAGATGCTACCCCTCAGGAAGGCTACTTTGAAGTCACAATAAATTCTCCTCATTGAAGAGATTTCTTACTTCTAACCCTTCCTGATCATTTGCAACCTCTCTTTGAATTCCTTACAGTAGACCCAAAATGTTTTTGATTTTGCTATTTAGGAAGTCCAAAATACTCGAACTCAAATACAGATTACTTTTCTGCATTTAGCCTAAAGCCTTTTTCCATTTTTTTTTTTTTTTTTTGTTTTGCGTTAGAAAAAGATGGTTACCTCTCATGCCTCTGCAAAATATATAATAATATAAATAATATATCACTTGGTGTTATTCTTGACTGCCTGTTTTCTCAGCATAACTATTGATAATAACCTCTTTTACTCTGAAGAAAGTCCCAGTTTGTATAACAAATTATATTGTAACCTCATGTATAACATATTGTCTTTGGCCTATGTATTTCTGCCATTTCTTCAGTCCTCAAATTGATCGACATTCAGTAATAATTTGAATGTTTGCATTTGCTGTTAGGTTAAATATCGAGAAAATTTCGACAAAGAGAAGGGCAAGACGCCAAAATACAATCCAAAAGACAGTCAGCTCTACAAAGTCATGAAAGACGCTAACAATCTTGCAAGTGAGGTATGTTTTTCATCACCCTATCCAGCATTTGTTTCAGAATGGGATATCTTACTATGATTTCTGAAAGTGCTGTTTTCCATTTCCTATATATATATATATAATGGTAGCATAGTGCCTAAGGCACTTGACTGCTAACCAGAAGGCTGGTGGTTCAAACCCACCAGCCACTCCTCGGAAGGAAGGTTGGGCAATCCTACTTCTGTAGTGATACTGCCTCGGAAATCCAAGGAGGGGTCGCTATGAGTTGGGGCTGACTTGATGGCACACAACAACAACAACAACATATATATAATCTCCTATTTCTTCTTCATATGCAGGTTAAGTATAAGGCAGACCTAAAGAAACTTCATAAACCTGTGACTGACATGAAGGAATCGCTGATAATGAATCATGTCCTGAATACAAGCCAACTTGCCAGTTCTGTAAGCTTAATAATTCCTTCCAGAAACAGCTGGTTTCACCCATTTGCAACTAAATTCCTTCCCTGAACTCACATGCATCTCCTTCTCTGCTGATGATACACTAGATTTATTAGAAAGCTCTTCCTTTGTTTGAGTGGATTCTTCCCAACTGCAACATTAATTCTCCATTGACAGTAACAACACCTCACAGAATGCTTCTATATTTAGAACTTTTAGACTTGTTTTTAAATTAATTAATCCCTTTCCTCCTTTTAAGGACATAGAATTCCTGTTTGCAATAGTTGCTTTTCACTTTTAAAGCCTCTTTGGTATAGTCAAGCCATGTAACATAAGTGTTTACCACTACTATTAACTGACAAGACTTAACATATATTTTCATCTTATGAAACCTTGTTTTAACCCGCCACTTAGTGTTTGCTAATTTTAATTTGGGCTTGACAATGCTGCTGCGTGAAAGTCTAATCTAAAGAGGAAAAACAGCAATACCGAGCAGCTTTTCCATCAATTGCCTTTTTTGCCACCTTCCCCTCAGTACCAGTACAAGAAGAAATATGAGAAAAGTAAAGGCCACTACCACACAATACCTGATAATCTGGAGCAGCTTCATCTAAAAGAAGCCACAGAATTACAGAGTATAGTAAGTTGATCGAGACTGACTTTTTGTGTGATGCACATTCATCTACAACGTCAATAAATTCCATGGATCCCCTAAGATAGTAGTTATGCTTTTAGCAGCTGCATTGAGAATGGATTTACTAAACAAATTTAGTAACACTTTGCAATTGGATGTTATAAATATAATAGCATCTACATATATTGGAAAAATTCAACACATACATGGAATATATTTTACTCAGCTTACTGACAGGGACTAAAAGTATAAAGACTATGTTACAAGAGGGACAATGGTATTCCTTACAGTAGCTCCAATGTGCCCCATAGGTGTGTATCCCAGGTTATAAACCCTACAATGGATGGATAGAAGTTTTAAGATTTTAATCAAGGAAGTTACATGATCAGTTCTACCACTGAAAGAGTCTCTAAGTATTTAGTAAGTTGCAAAATTGTAAAATAATTGAGGATTCTCAGAAGAGCCTCCTATATCACAAATTTAGCTTTATTTAGGTCTCCTGTTGGGCCTTAGGGAGCTCTGGTGCCATAGTGCCTAAGGCATTTGACTACTAACCAGAAGGCTGGCAGTTCAAACCCACCAGCTACTCCTCAGAAGGAAGGTTGGGCAATCTACTTCTATAGAGATACCACCTCGGAAACCCAAAGAGGGGTCGCTATGAGTTGGACCCGACTCAACAGCAGTTAGTTTGGTTTGGTTTTTGGTTTGTTGGGCATTAACTAAGAGGATTAAGTTATTAGAAATGCCCTCATATCATCTGCAACCACCATGTGTCCGAAGCCTCTATTCTGTTGACCTTCAAGACCTTGTTACAGCCAAGAAAGCTGAAATTTGAGCATTGCCACTAAGATGCGTGTGACTTTCAGCAAGGGTCTTTGCCTCTCTGTCTTTCAATTTTTCCTCTACAAATGTAACTATTTACATGGTTGCCCCATCCCTAATAACATATTATCAGGATGAGGAGATGGCATTAGTGAAATAGTCTTGGAAGGTCTTTGAGAATGTCATATTTTCATTTTTAAATGTGTGATCAGTTATGACCCAAAGAGAGTTGCTATGTATCCATTAAATCAAGACCCCAGGCTTTTGATAAATTGTTCTTATGAAAGAAAAACTGGACATTTTTATCAGAAACATTGACTAATGCTATTGTTAAAATGCTCACATCTGTGCAAGTCAACCTCATTGGTGGGTAATTTTCCCTGCAATTTTGTGTGTGTGTGTCCTTGAATTGAACAAAAATTCTAATTATGCCTTGCAGATAGTAATGGAGTTGTCCTCCCAGGAAATAACAAAAACAATAGTGAATCTGAAACACAAAAGGACCCTTCTGAATGGTGATGAGATGCTACCCAATTGGACATAATCAATCCATTAAAAAGGACTAGCTCTAAGCAGCTCTCTATCAAAGAGTTGACCAGAGGAGAGATTTCTAATAAGACTTTTTGTCACTAGGTGAAATACAAAGAAAAGTATGAAAAAGAACGAGGGAAGCCCATGTTGGACTTTGAAACACCAACATACATCACTGCCAAAGAGTCTCAGCAAATGCAGAGTGGGGTAAGTCCTATAAAAACACACCATACAACACATATACCCTCAAGCAGATGAAAACAGGCACTGTCCACAAACACAGCTGGCCCTCTGTTATGCAATATTGGTAGATGATGGCACTTTTTAACATGTGATCATTAAAATTATTTCCATCTCAGAAATCCTATGGTTCAGTTATCAAAAATGTCCTACATAGTAGATTATTACCATACATGTTTTATTTGGACTATCATTTTTCACAAATCAGAATAGCAAACTATTCCAAAAATGAAACAAACTATTTTGAATATAATTTGAATTTTCTTTCATGAATGAAAAAGCTCCTTTATACAGATATATCATGGCTTTGGAAGGCCCCAGCCTTAAAAGGATGCCCAAGCCAAACAAAGGAGAATCAGTGATCACACTGTTTATCAAGACCCTAGAAAATAAAAATTTAAGGTGCCATATTTTCTATTTTAGAATAATAAGCAGAGGGATTTTGAAATGCTCTCTCACTTTTAACCAAGGGTAGAGAAGAATGGAATCTTATTTGAAGCTTAGAAAGTCTTAGAAAAACAGCCTTATTTTTAATTTCTTTTTGCCTTCACTCTATGTGACATATCTCCAATATAAAGATAAATAGCTATTATTAAGAGTAGCAGTTTGTGGAGCTTTCTGGTGTGTACAATGCCAGATAATCAAAAGTTGAAGATAATTTCAAACAACTGGTAATTCTGGGTAAGGAGTCTATGGGAGTTCCTTATCCTATTCCTCCAAGTTTTCTGTAACTTTTAAATTATATCAAAATAGAAAGTTACAAAAAAGGAATTGCAACTTCTATTCCAAGCCTCTGAAAGATAGCCTAGTACAGGGATTAGAGAGATGGGAGAAGTTGTAGCCCTTTCCCCCAACCATGGACACAGCCAACAAACTTCTCTATACCTCATTATCTACTTTCTCTACTCAATGATTCTGTGATTTAAAAAACAGGTCATGATTATGAAAAAGGCCAAGTTTGCTTTTGGTGCTCTCGGACTTCCCTTCTGAGGAGTTTCACACCTCCCCCGTCCCTTGGGTCCTCGGGTCATTTATTTCTAATTAGAAATGTTTTCTTTTTTTTTTTTTTTTTGTCACCATAAGAGAAATATAGAAAGATTTCAGGGGCAAAGTCTGTGGTATCTTGATGGCACAGTCCTCGTTCCACTCTGCCAGGGGTCTAGTCCCAGTCACATTACACGGATGAATGAGGAAGGAATCCGTTAAAGTTTCTCATCCTCGACATTTCCTCAGGGCCCTGTGCTGTAGACCAAGTATTTCCAGAACAATCAGACATGTTTCAAATGTGTGCTTGTTAGCAGAACTCTGGTCAAGTCAAGAGGCCATAATGATATTGTTGTAATATTTTTCTTCCTAGGATTGAAAATAAATTATAATAAAGATCTTGTTAACTTGTCTTTCCTTCCTACTCATATTAGAAAGAATATAGGAAAGATTATGAAGAATCCATTAAAGGCAGAAACCTGACTGGCCTGGAAGTCACGCCAGCTTTATTACATGTCAAATATGCCACCAAAATAGCCAGCGAGGTAGTACCCATTCGGTCTTTTCTTTCCCTCTTGACCCAAATAATTGCACTAATGACACGCATCAGTGTATTCTTTCTACCATTTTTATCACCACCTAACTTTGTGAGTTTCAAATTGAGTTCACATGTGTTTGGTACTACCACTTAATGCATTACCCATGTTAATTCTTCTAATTTTTATATTGAATATCTAATAAATGTACTTACCTTAGTATTCTATTAATTTCCATTATTTACTTCATATTTAATATTAACTGATGCAACTTATAACCTATCTTTACTTACTAAACTTTAAGGTCTTTAAATTTGGAAGGGTTTGTTTGGTTTTTGGCTCTTTATGAAAGAGGAACAACTCAGGCTTTCTTGTCAGTGTTGTTGCTTTTATTTTATGATATAGAAAGAGTACAGGAAAGATCTAGAAGAAAGCATCCGTGGGAAGGGCCTCACTGAAATGGAAGATACCCCTGACATGCTAAGGGCAAAGAATGCCACTCAAATCCTCAACGAGGTAGGCCCACAGTTCCATAATTAGCAGAGCATCTTTTCCTTCCTAACCACGGGACACCAAAAAACAGAGAAGAGATCAAAAGAAAAATTTTAAATTTCTAATTCCATATCCAACATGATTATTAACAATATATCGCAATCTCTGATGAGCTGATATTTTAACAGTCTGTTAAGTGATCATCATAACCACTTAGTTATTTATCTAGTATTATTTGATTTAAGCTTGATGCATTCAGTGTGTTCATTCAAATAAAAACACCACAATGGGGTGCTGATCATCTCATTTTCTTCCTCGCTGTGTACCAAACCAGATTTAAAATGGGCTCTATACTTCAATTTTCTAAGCAGAGAATATTAAAGTATTCAAAAGAAGTCCTCATATTGAGTCCTGTTTACATGAGCAGAACAATTTACTAAAGTAGACTTCTGTAGTCATAATTCCATCCAACACATGGAATGGTGAAGGCGCATACCAGCAAGAGAATACTGCCTGGGACAACTACGGTGGCATCTTATGTGGATTTATATTCACAATTCAGTCTGTAAGTTTAATAACTAGTAATGGAGGCTAGGTAACTTTTTTCTTTCTCTTTTTTTTCAATGCTACTGTAGAAAGACTATAAGAGAGACCTGGAGCTGGAAGTCAAAGGAAGAGGCCTAAATGCCATGGCCAATGAAATTCCTGATTTTATAAGGGCCAAGAATGCTACAGATATTGCCAGTCAGGTGAGTGTTACTATGTGATGTCAATCTATCAAGAAAGTAGTTGGGGTCATAAGGACAAAATATTGTTACTCTCGGAAGGAAGGTTGGGCAATCCTACTTCCGTAGTGATACTGCCTCGGAAACCCAAGGAGGGGTCGCCATGAGTCGGGGCCGACTCGACGGCAAATAACAACAACAACAACATTATCTTACTTGTTGATCAATGATAATCAATTGCATACAGAATCTTTCTTGAACATCTGCCTTGTGGAATCCATTTCTATTCCAATGAAAATATGAAGGCCTTTGGCCAGGTGTACTTTCATCTGCCTTTCTGAGCCTATAGCCACTGGGGACATTGAGAGCAAATGGCAGAAGTTGGGGAACCAAATAGCTGCTTGGAGCTGCGACTGACTCTGACCTGATCTTATTAGCTAGCCTTGTTTCTTAGTCAACATACTTGTCATTTGACATCCAGAATTCCTTGCTTAGAATATGTTGAAGGGTTTTTCTTTCCCTTCTTTCAAGTCCTAAATTTAAAACATGGTTTTTAAGGGTCCTACTATAGTTAATGCTAATTGGTATGTGTCTTTTGCTTCCTTTTCATTCTGCCAGCTCTTTTGTATGCAACCTATGCTTTACTCTCTATTAGTTACATTTCTCCTTACCCATACCCCCATTTATGTCCAACTAGATAGGGAGCTCTGGTAGCATAGTGGCTAAGACACTTGCCTGCTAACCAGACGGCTGGCGGTTCAAACCCACCAGCCACTCCTCGGAAGGAAGGTTGGGCAATCCTACTTCTGTAGTGATACTGCCTCGGAAGCCCAAGGAGGGGTCGCTATGAGTCAGGTTTGACTCGACGGCACTTAACAACAACAACAACAAGATAGTAAGTCTCTCAACAGCTAGAACTCAACCTAGTCTTACTCTTGAGTATAGTTTGTACACAGTAGGAAAAATGTCTACTAAATGTTAAAAGAAATACTGTTCATCTCTTAATCAAACCTAGCCAACAAATGTGCACATTGTAAACATCTACCCAACTGTTGGATATCCTTTTACAGATTAAATATAAACAAATAGCAGAAATGGAAAAAGCCAATTTCACCTCTGTGGTTGATACTCCAGAGATCATTCATGCCCAACAAGTCAAGAACCTTTCAAGCCAGGTAAGAGTATTCATGAGACTATCACTCATACACCCCAAAAGTAAGAACAAAAGTCCTTAGTTCCTAAGGACATTCTTTCCAATCACAGTTTTGTCCAATGGAAAAGATGGAATTCATCTTTTATACAAGTTTGATTTAGAGTTCAGCTCTTTATATCAGAACTAAAATGGATTATAAGAGGGAATTTTAAGGTACTAAAGAACTCATATAGTACAATCCATAACTAATGGATTAATATTTCAACATGTAAAATCTCTGATAATGTTGATGGAAGATTTATGTACAAATCTGGAAGAAAGTAGTTGACCCAAATTTGGATTATTGATCTATTTTATGAGAGGAAGTTCTATCATCACTATACCCATAATTCAATCCCAATCTCTCCTCGTAATGGGTGACCCTGCCTCTTCTTACAAGTACAGAGATGAAGAAAATTAGGATGTCCTTCATATATCAGAAGGGAGCTCTGGTGGCATACTGCCTGAGGCATTTGACTGCTAACCAGAAGACTGGCAGTTCAAACTCACCAGCTACTCCTTGCAAGGAAGATTGGGCAATCTAATTCTGTACAGATAGTGCCTTGGAAACCCAAGGAGGGGGTGCTATGAGTCAGATCCTACTCGACGGCAGGGAGTTTGGTTTTGGTTTTGGTCATATATCAGGATATACCTTATTTGTTTTAATCTTCAATTATGGCCAGAAATCTGAACTTCATTGTTGCTGAAATTAGCATTTTTACTTGTCTTTTGATTAATACATCCCAAAGGAGCTCTGGTGGTGTGCCTAACGCATTTGACTGCTAAGTAGGTTGGTGCTTCAAACTCACCAGCCACTGTGCGGATGGAAGACTGGGCAATCTCCTTCTGTAAAGATTTGCCTCCTCGGAAACCCAAAGGAGGTCTCTATGAGTTGGAATTTACTTGATAGCAGTGAGTTTTTTTTTTTTTTTTTTTTTCTAAAAAAAGCAGTAGTAACCTGTGTTTTATAAACAGCTGGAAATGTAGATTCCCTGGCCCCACCCTGGATTTTTGAGGCTAGTAAATCTGAGATAATGGAGCCCTAATGGCACAGTGGTTAAGCACCTGGCTGCTGACTCAAAGGTCAGAGGTTCTAACCCACCAGCCACTTTACAGGAGAAAGATGTGGCGTTGCATTCTATAAGGATATAGCCGTGAGAACCCTACTAGATGTTTAGTTCTATTCTGTCCTACAGAGTCACCATGAGTCAGAATTGACTCGGTGGTAAAAGAGTTAGGTTTGGTCTTAAACTGAGATAGCCTCTGGAAATGTCTTTGTTTTTAATCTTCACAGATGAGCTTCTGATGACCAATTAGGTTTGGGAATTATGGATTTAACCCTTTATTGTCAACATATAATTTTATATTATGAAGTTATTGTTGTTATGTGCCATCGAATCGGACCTGACTCATAGCAACCTCTCCTTGGGTTTCCGAGGCAGTATCACTATGGAAGTAGCTTGCCCCATCTTCCTTCCAAGGAGTAAGTTAGATACAAAAAATATAGTCATCACTAGGAAGTAGTTTCAAGGAGCTCTGGTGGTGCAGTGCCTAATGCATTTGACAGCTAACCAGAAGGTTGACAGTTCAAACACACCAGCCTTTTTTTTTTTTTTTTTTTTTTTTTGAGAAAGAGTAGTTCAGTTAGCAAACAGATACATTCAAGTGGGGTAAAATGAATCTTGAGGGAGAGAAGGTGAAGAATAAGTACGTTTTTTTATTACCAAAATTATATGGGCTTCAAAGTACCAGGTTGTGCTCATTGGGCAGGACACCATTCTTGGATGCTTTGGGCTATGAGAAGCTCACTAGCCTTATCTTCTGCCTTTCTGACATTGCTCATCCTTAAAAAAAAACCTCAGCATACAAAGCCTGTCCCTGGGAGAGATTAGTCACTGAGTCTACTAGTGTGTGCTTTTCTGGGGTTCTCTCACCTCAACTGATTCTACAAGGCTTAAAATATGACCAGGTTATTTCCCTCCCAATTTGGATTAGTATTTACATGTAAGTGATCAGGGAATGTTGGTGTTTTCCACAATATTGCTTCTGGGATTTCCAGTGGGAGTCTATATTTTATAACTTCAGGTGCTGTGGTAGGATAAAAAAGACCCCAGATTCAAACTATTCTATAACAAAAAACAAACTCACTGCCGTCAAGTCGGATCTGACTCATAGCAACCTCCTAGGGTTTCCAAGGCGATATCATTCAACCTCCTAGGGTTTCGAGGCAGTATCATTCATTACTCATCACGGAAGTAGATTGCCCAACCTTCCTTCCGAAGAATAGCTGGTGGGTTTGAACTGCCAGCCTCCTGGTTAGCAGTCAAATGCCTTAGGCAGTAGGCCACCAGAGAGACAAAGATAGGACAAAGACAATCATCCAGGATGAGGGAAACCCATCAGCACGTACACAGTACAGAAAGCTGAATGGAGTCTGCTGAGTTATAGTCATGGGGCTAATTATGTATGATTGAAAACAAAGGAAATCATCCTAAAATTATGATTGGTGGCACATCGATCCATCACTGTCGAAGGTGGGACTGTAGAAGTGAGGAAAGGACCATGATTAGGATAAATACATAATTGGAGATTAAAAAGGGTTACAGGATTGGTTCTGGGGCTTGACCTGGCTGGGGGTGGTCTGGATAAGACTCCTGACCATGCAGCTTGAGTCAAAGCCACAAGGTGGCTGCAAGACAATGCCAAAATCCCAAGCTTAATTTAAATTAAAAAAAGGACACACTCAGGCAAGTTCCCTAGTTCTTTTTGTGAGCATAAACTGCTTTCAATCACACTCTTCCTGGGGCAAACTCCCGCTTCCTAGATTTGTCCTAGAACTTCGTCTATGCACAGTCACAATGTTGTTTTAAAGGTCAGAAAGAAGGAAAATTGCATCTGAACTTAAAATGGGTAGAGCTGTAGACCACATCCTTCTAGGAACCAAGCTTCAGAATTTAAGCTCTAATGCAATGCCAACAGTCAAGCGCTCCATTACTAGCCATAAAGGTTGATGGTTCAAACCCACCCAGAGGTATCTCGGAATACAGGCTTGGTGATCTGCTTCTGAAAGTTCATTCACAGCCTTGAAAATCTCATGGAGCACAGTTCTATTCCGCACACATGGGGTCATCATGAGTCGGCAAGGACTCGCTGGCAGCTAACAAGAACAAACCTCAGACTTGAGTTAATGCAAGCCGTGTAAACTGACACATATTCAGGAGACGGAATTCAGAATTATTTCACCATAAACCGTATTCCATATTCGGGTCCCTTTCCTCTCAGAAAACCCCAAGCTCCATTTACAAATTCATCCCTCTCCTTGTAGTGACCGCGAACCAATTGAGGTAGCTTTTGCTTTACTGAGACCTGTTTGCCTAACATTTGCATAACTATGAAGAACCATTTAGGTGGTATTTTTCCTGAACAAAGAACATCTGCTCCAGTGAACTTGCGTTTTCCTTCAGGAAATGTGGAGGAGGGTAGAACAATCTTTGCTTTAACTCTTTCCTGTTGGAGGAGCAAAATATAGGCTGAAATCTCCAATTAGTTGAAACTGCCTCTTTTTTGTTGTTTTCTGAAGAAGTTAAATTTTGAACATTTATAAATGTAACTAATACACAATACAATTTCGATAGATACATAGATCAATGATAGATATATAGATAGATAAAGGAAGAAAAGGAAGGAGGGAGGGAAGAAAGGAGTGGGGGATGAGAAGCGAGGAAGGGAAAAAGCATAGTCTTTATTGCCATTGTAAAAGGGGCCCATCTCTTTCCTCAGCCTTTCATACCAGAGCTTCCCAGAAAAGTAGAAAAACTGGGGCTAAATAAAGCTAGAAAGTGAAAGGACATTGTGACAAATGAGGAAAGAAAAACAAAGGCTCTAAGAACAACTGTTCAGCTACACAGAATAACTGGAGACAATTAGTTTAGTCTTAGGGATTTACCGTGTAGGTGTCTGGGAGAAGAGCAGTCCCTGTGGACCAGTCTCTCCAACCAAGGGCAAAAGTGGGGCTGGGAAAACACAAGGAAAAGTGATGGCTTGTTTACCCTTTGGCTAGTCAGTTCAGAATCAATTTGTTATAATGGCAGCCCCAGGTCTGCCTGTTTAGAAGAGTTGCTAATCCCCATCAGGATGGTTTCTGCAGCAACAGAGCCATGTGTATTCTGGAAGCACCTGGACCTGACCACTCACTCAGTCCTGCAGCCCAGAGCCCCAACTGTACCTGCTCAGCCCACATGCTCATGGCTCATTGAAAATCTCCATAGCATTAACTAAGACCTGCCCTTAAACCTCCTCCTTCTCTCTGGCTCCTGACTAAATGGTTCCATCCAGTTCCACGAAGAGTATTGCCACTGTTGGCATCCCCATCTCCCTGCCCGGAGCCTCCTTGGCTGTAACTTCCTTCCTGTGGACCAGCCAGCAAGGATCTCTGCCAGTTTCTCATGACAGTAGGTCCTATTAAATGCCCAGGTTTAGTTCTCCTGGAAAGGAAAGTTCTTTACTGACAGAGAGTGTTCTGCTTTATAAACTACCTAAGGTCCTTGAAGAGAGTTCCTGGGTGGCACAGTTAAGCAGCGATCATCTACTAATTGAAAGATTGGTGGTACGAGTCCACTCAGAGATGCCTTGGAATAAAGTCCATCTCCTTCTGAAAAGTCACACCTTTAAAACCTCTGTGGAGAGCAATTCTACTCTGCACACATGGGGTTGCCATGAGTCAGAATCGACTCAACAGCAACTTTTTTTTTTTTTTTAACATCCTTGAACATTAAAGCAAGTACAAAGGACTTTTCCTCTGCTGAGCTGGATGGTCCCATTGATCCATATCCCTCATGCTCACCCTTCTTATTTTTTGACATCTATTCCCAGAAAAAATACAAGGAAGATGCAGAGAAGTCCATGTCATATTATGAGACTGTTTTGGACACCCCTGAGATGCAGAGAGTCCGGGACAACCAAAAGAACTTCAGCCTTGTAAGTTTTCATTGAATCCAATACAGAGCCACTGACACCTGGGATCGGGTGGAGTAAGGAGGGTACATCTGGGCACACATACTTGGGCATCCCACCCCTGCAGTGGTGCCAGGAAGCAACACTTCACTTCTTCCATTTATGCTCCAGCACATATGTGCTCAATTCTTCTCTGGGCTCACTCTACATATCAGCCCCAAACCTTAGCATGAGGGACCTAGCTGTGCATTTGCTGGTGGCTTCCCATCACTGAATATGAACTATCACCATTTTCTATTAGTGATGAACCTATCTTTTTCAAAGTTAATCCTAGGCAAGAGATGCTGAAAATAGCCAAATTTGACACACTGTAAGTTTTAAAGCTAATTCTTATTACATAGTTATTTAAATCTTATTAAACATTATCTCTTTGACTATCAGACCATGATTATTGTGAAACAGACTTTAAACCACAACAAAAAAGAAAAAGAAAATAACCATGAGATTTAACCAAGGGACTGATGGATCACATGAACCACAGCCTCCACTACCCAAGACCAGAAGAACTAGATGGTGCCTGGCTACCACCAACTACTCTGATCACTCTGATCAGGATCACAATAGAAAGTCCTGGACAGAGAAGGAGAAAATAAAAAAAGTAGAACAAAATTCAAAAACATATAAAATACCACACATACTGGTCTGACAGAAACTAGTAGAAACCCTGAGGCTCTGGCCCTTAGACACCCTTCAACCCTGGAACTGAATCCACCCCCAGGGATCAACTTTCAGCCAACCAATAAATTGTCTGGCCTATGCAGTGAATAATAGCATAAGGAAGAGTGTATTCCTTGGTGCAATCAACCATATGAGACCAAAAGGGCAGTATCTCCCCAAAACAAAGCTCAGAAGGCAGGAAGGGGCAGGAAAGAAGGACTAATGGAAAAGGAACCCAGGAAGGAAGGGGGAACAGTGCTGTTACTTTAAAGGGATTACAACCAATGTCACAAAACAAAAGTGTGTATGAATTGTTGAATGGAAACCTAATATGCTCTGAAACTTTCATCCAAACTATAATAAATTAAATAAACAAGAGATTTTAACTTCCTTTGCACAACATAGGAACATTAAAAACATATAAGTCAATGTTGAAATCTTAACAAGATGTTTATTCTTTCTTCATAGCTGCAATACCAGTGTGACCTTAAAAACAGTAAAGGAAAAATTACAGTTGTTCAAGACACCCCAGAAATACTGCGTGTTAAAGAAAATCAAAAGAATTTCAGCTCGGTACATTTACTATTTATTTTCCACTTAATGCTAATTTAATAATTCTATTCTCCCCTTTAAAAACCTACTAGCCTCATGTTGATTCAGACAATTAACACCTAACCTCCCCAGATAATACCAGTGGTTATTTGTAAAATTGCTACCCATAGCTCCAAAATCATCACTCTCTCTCTGAGACCATTTGAAATAACAACTTAAAACTAAGCAAATTTTCTTTCATTTTAACTTTTTAATCCCAGTGCAGTAACACGTGTTGTCTTGCTCCAGGAAGATGGACTTCTTTTTGACATTGTGGTTTCTTTTATTATACCTCCCCAAAATAACTGACTGACTTCACATTTCTTTAATGGATTTCGTTTCATTGGGAGTGTTGTTTTTTTTTTTTTAAATCAACAATTTCTGGTTTTTCTCATCCTGAATTAATAACCTTAAAAGAAATCTTGATCTGGAAAATGACTTGTATTAGAGCTGCTGTGTGAGTCACTGATACTGACCTAGAAGATGCCAAATGCAATGCTTCACACCTGCTGACAAACAGTCTCAAGGGTCTTTTGTTTTCACAGAAGCCATGTTTCCTAGTCTTTCTCCAGAATTGCTGGTTTTTCCTTTCTTCTGTGTAATGCTGTCCTGATTCTGAATGCCCAGGTTTTATATAAAGAGGATGTCTCACCAGGAACAGCAATTGGAAAGACGCCTGAGATGATGAGAGTGAAGCAAACCCAGGACCACATCAGCTCGGTAAACACACAGTGGGCACACTTTGAATCATTTTTTCCTTCTTTTGATAGTAGGCATTGCTGTCTGAGCTACACACATAACCTTAACAGTAACAGTTTAAGTTGCTAAAATAGAAATTTGATGTGTGCCACTGGAGAAACTCACCTCATATTCAGAGAGTGTCATGGCTGTTATAATGAGGGAGTGCTTAGATAGGGAAAACAGCGAGGATTGTAAGAAAGTAGGATCTGTTAGAAAGAGCCAAGAATCAGTTGATGTATATGAACATAATCTGTCCTAGGTCAAATGAACTGTTGGGTCTAAACATACTGGAGTATATAGGAAATATAAGGGACTCTAGTGCAATTATAGGTGCTCTGGTAGTGCAGTGGTTAAGTGCTCTGCTGCTAACTGAAAAGTTTGAACCCACCAGCCACTCAACAGGAGGAAGATGTGGCAATCTGCTTCCATAAAGATTCTCCAACGCTCCTAGTTACCCTTCAGGTCTTTAACTGAACTCACTCCTGTGGCTTCCAGCCAAAAATAGATAGGCATATAGGGTGAACATATAGGTAGATATACTCCATACAGTGATCAAGATTGTGGGAGAACAGAAGGGCAGTGTTTGCACAGAAGGATAGCTGGGGGCAGGGAGTGGGGGCAGGAATGGATAGGAAAGGACACAGGGAAAAGGTAACTACAGGGAGGAAGTGGGAAGAGAGCTGTTACATTGTGGGGAACTGCAGTCAATGTCATGAAACAAAATGTGTATGAACTGCTATATGCAAAATGAATTTTCTCTGTAAACTTTCACTCAAATCACAATTTAAAAAGGAAAAAAAAAAAAAAAAAGATTCTCCAAACCAAACTCACTGCCGTAGAGTTGATTCTGAGTCATAGCAACCTCCACTGGGTTTCCAAGGCTGTAAATATTTATGGGAGTAGATAGCCCCATCTGTCTTCCACAGAGTGACTGGTGGGTATGAACCATTGACCTTTTGGTTGGCAGTGCTCCTGCCGTGAAGAATACAGGCTTGGAAATCCTGTGGAGCTGTTCTATCCTGTCCTATAGAGTCACTATGAGTTGGAATTGAATCAATGGCAAATGGGAGGGATATGTTTAGTTTTGTTTTGGTTAGTGCAAGTATGGGCCCTCCCACCTCTGCCCTCAAAGAGACAAGAGAGTCAAGTATTTGATACTGAATCACACTATGTAGAATGAGTGTGTTCTTTAAATTATGATTTTAAAATAATTTACAAAATGACTGTGGTGATGGTTGTACATGATCAATGTAATCAGTGTCACTGAATTGTACATGTATAAATTGTTGAAATGGCAGATGTTTTATTATATATATTTTTACCACACACACAAAGAAAGCTTGGGAGACTATTAATTAGACACATATACATATTGGGAAGAATAACTTTCTAGCATGTAATACCCTTCATTTCCTATTTTTCTGTCTGCAGGTGAAGTATAAGGAGGCAATAGGACAAGGAACTCCGATCCCTGACCTGCCTGAAGTGAAGCGTGTTAAGGAGACACAGAAGCACATTAGCTCGGTAAACCAAAAAAACCAAACTCACTGCCATCAAGTCGCTTCCAACTCATAGCAACTTCCATTGAGTTTCTGAGGCACAAAATCTTTACGGAGGAGTGGCTGGTGGGTTTGAACTGCCAGCCTTCTGGTTGGTCAAACGCCTTAGGCACTATGCCACCAGAGCTCCCATTAGCTCAACAGTGGCCCATATTCTTAGCTTGCATTTGTGTAACTGACCACATCCCAGTTGCTGCCAGCTCCACTTCATCCCTTTTCCCTCTTACTAAGGGTTTTCCATGCCTTAGGGATGTTATGAGTCCTAGTGGCATAATAGTTAAGTGCTTACCTGCTAACCAGTTGGCTGGTGATTGGAAACCACCAACCACTCCATGGGAAATCTGCTTCCCCAAAGATTTACAGAAACCCAATGGAGCAGTTCTGCTCCGTCCTATGGGATTTCTATGAGTCAAAATTGACTTGGCAGCAATGATTAGGGATGTTGTGAGTCCTCCCTCTGTCCTAAAGTGTTGTAAAAGTAGACAGAAGAACTTATGACGTCTAATGCAGCTTTCTTCCTTCCCTTTCAAAATTTCTTGCCCTGTTTTTTCTGCCCAAGAAGCCCTGATGGAGTAGTGGTTAAGTGGCCAGGGGCAAACCAACAAGTTAGTGGTTTGAACCTACCAGCTGCTCTGCCAGGAGAAAGATGAAGCAATCTGCTTCCTTGAAAGGTTTACAGCCTTGGAAATCACATGGGGCAGTTTTCCTCTGTGCTTTAGGGTCTCTGTGGGTCAGAATCAACTTGATGGCAATGGGTTTGATTTTAGTACCTGTTAGGAATTTTCTTTGAAAATCCAAAGTCAATAGAAAACTCAGCAACTCTGAAGTTGTGACTAGAAAAATTGAAAACCAAGCATACTATTACACATCTGAAAACCCAATACATGCAAGATAGTAAGTGTTATAAAATGATTTTTCACATTGTTTAATTCATTATCACCATTTAATACATTTTACAAATGTACTTGACTATAGGGAATGCATAATTCCATATCCAATTTTCAAGGTAGTAAGATTGCTACATTTTAAAGAGAAGATACGAATATTTATTTATATTTATTCCTCAAGTGTCATATTTGAAAGCTAGTTTATTTTTATGGTACAAATGACTTTCTACTGAATAGCCCACATGTATCAGTAATCTAAAGGATCCATGGTCATTTTCCCCTTCTGGGTATTTTCATTATCTTCTACAGGTTATGTACAAAGAAAACTTGGGAACGGGCATTCCAACCCCTGTCACTCCAGAGATTGAGAGAGTCAGACGCAATCAAGAGAATTTTAGCTCGGTATTTACAAATACTTTAAATAAGAAACTTTATGTCCCATAAAAAATTTACCAAAATAACCCATCATCTTTTTATAAAAAAATAACATCTTAACAATAATTCTGTGTATGTTTACATGTGTGTGTGTGTGTGTTATTACCTACCTGATCAAAACTGGACTTAACACAAAGTGACTCACTTTTCTGATTACACTTTAACATTTTCAGAGCCTGACAAGTGTGAATAGTTACATCTAAAGTACTGTAAATAGAATTAACACAAGATTCTTAAGCATCATACTTACTTCCTGTAACTCAATGCTTTCTGTTGTACTTTTTTTGTTCCCAAGAATTAGCATCATAGAGTTCATAATTAGAATTGCGAAATAAAAAATAAAAGCAATCCTTACTAAAAAGTGCTCTCCACGCAACATTTACCCCCAATTTCCTTTCTTTTTTAACCTTTGTGCTTGTGTTGAGTGTCTTCTGGGTACTTTCTTGTATCTCACAGGTTTTGTACAAAGAAAATTTGGGGAAAGGAACCCCAACACCTATCACTCCAGAGATGGAGAGAGTCAAACGCAATCAAGAGAACTTTAGCTCGGTATTTCTTAGGAAGCAAAAATTCTTATTTAAAATAATATTTTTAACTCATCACAAATATATGACTTTTCTTCCTGTAAAATTACTAAATTCTTATAATGAAAATAATGATACCAAATATTACCTCAGTTTTCAACTCTAATTTAGTATTCATTTTAGTGCTGGTGTGAATTTTTAACTGTGTTTTTCCTAAAACGTAGATATTTATCACTTCCCTTAAACACCTATAATACTCAGATATCCTTCCTCCAATCTTCCTTTAATAACAGTAGGTGTTTCTAACTGGTGTGGCACAAATTCAAAGTAAAATCTAACATCCTTTCAGAAGGAGAATGTTAATTGGAATTTTATTTGTATTTATTGTTGCTGTGTTTGACATATTCTTTGTTTGCAGCTTTTCTTAAATGAATGTGATTCCTAAACATTTTCATTCAAAAGATGACAAGTGATTCACAGTAATGCAGAAATACAAATTTACTGGTCTTTGTATATCATGCAAAATATAAATAAGTTTTTTTTTTTTTTAATGTTTTCAGGACTGGGAGCTTTGGTGGCATAGTGCCTAAGGCACTTGACTGCTAACCAGAGGGCTGGTGGTTCAAACCCACCAGTCACTCCTCGGAAGGAAGGTTGGGCAATCTACTTCTGTAGTGATACTGCCTCAGAAACCCAAGGAGGGGTTACTCTGAGTCAGATCCCACTCCACGGCAGTGGATTTTCAGGACCATTGAAAAGCTAGTGTTTATTAGTAACATTTATTAACATTTATTTTGTACCCCAAAATGACCTTTTAAAAATTTTGGTTGTCTAATTTAGTGTTACCAACATGGTTAACTTGAACTCTATTTTATAAATATAGCCTAATCTTTCTTTGAGAGAAGACCTATACACCCACTCCTCACTTATTAATTTAGTTAGGTTCCAAAGGCCAGGTCGTTATGCAAAACTCAGTGTTATGTGAAAATGGAGGATGACCACATCAGATCACAAAAAGGAGGATGACTACACTATCATGTTGTTGTTGTTTGCCGTCGAGTCGGCCCCGACTCATAGCAACCCCTCCTTGGGTTTCCGAGGCAGTAACACTACGGAAGTAGGATTGCCCAACCTTCCTTCCGAGGAGTGGCTGGTGGGTTTGAACCACCAGCCTTCTGGTGAGCAGTCAAGTGCCTTAGGCACTATGCTACCAGAGCTCCTACACTATCATGTAACTGCTAAATTACTCCTCATTAGCGAGAAGTAGGTGTCAATCCACCTGACTAGAGTCTGGCAACTGTGTATATATGTATTTATGCCACTTAGACACAAACATCTGTGTGAATAAATGCCCAAGGGTGGTCTATAGCTGCTCTATTTCTTTAAATTATTTAAGCCTATTTTACTTCAGCATAACAACCAAAAAATACTTTGAGAGACTATTTTAAAGGTTAAGTCTAGCTGAAAGATGGGCCCAGGCTGATTTGATTGTTGGTTTTGTGCACACAGATATTGTACAAAGAGAACTTGAGCAAGGGGACCCCCTTACCTGTCACTCCTGAGATGGAGCGGGTCAAACGCAATCAAGAAAACTTTAGCTCGGTATTTGGGAGAAAGCTCCCTTTAACTCCATATTTAAAATAATAACTTCTATTAAATAAAACTTCTCACTATTAGTCCTTTTTAAATAATCAATTTAACAAATTCCTTTTTTTCAAATCTCACCATCTGAATCCTTCCTTTTTTAAGACATTTTACTCACCATGTGATCCTAATGTCCTATACTTTCTATAATAGTCCCTTAAAACGTTTGATTCTTTTCCTTCTCTTTTCACCTTTATGTTTCTGCTGGGACTTTTGAAGTTAATTGATTTCAAATACCAAAAAAACAGCCACTGAAGTTTTAGTTACTTGGAATTCTTTTTATTTGATGTTTCTAGGTTAGCTAGTGTTGTAAGAAAAGACAAAGGACTTGAGGGCACACGCAGCAACAGTGCCTCTGCTTGGGAACAGGGATCACGTTAGCATAGCCTGTCTGGATAAACAGCAGCACGAGAAAGAAACTTATTCAATATTGAAACCCAAACAATTTTACTTTTATATTTGTTCTAAGAAGTCTCTTCCTGAGTAGAAATTCAGCCCTTGTGAATTTTTGAAGCACATGTATGACTCCATGTGTTTACATTTCATATTATCACCTCTTTTCATTAATATTGTTGCTGAAAAGCTCAGTAATACCAAAACAGTCTGTGAAAACCTCCATATAAAGATTTTAGATTGATTTATGCCTGAGATAGAGCATCAAATGGCATCAGTAAAATTTAGCTGGATTTTATTTTTGGGGGGTGGTTAAAAAGGGGAATCAGTAATGATTTTTAATAGTCAATTCAAATATTTTCTGAAACTTAGATTCTTTCATAAAATTAGATCAGTAACTTCCTTTGGTCCCACTGTCTTTTTGTTTTGTTTTCTTTTACTTTTTAATTACTATTTACTAACCACTTTTCAATTTTGTTAAATTTTCAATGTAAGTTAATACACCTTTTGGAATGTTGTCTCCACTGTTTTCCCTATTGTTGTTTTAAATTATTATTATGCATCTTTTTTTAGAAAGGCTTGCATTTCAGAAAGTTACTTTCCCATATTTTCTTCTCTATTAGAGTGAGAGTGTTGTTGTTTGTATCCATTTAAGACTTTAATGATCTTGATGGTTCTGGACAATTTCTTTTTTTAAAAGTGACCATTTCTGTTACTTTTTACATAGATGACATTTAAGTAAAATTGTCTAGTGGTGCAGAGAGCCATTTTAGGTACCACAGGAAATAAACAGGGCTGTGTATTAAAACACTGACTTTAAGATCGGACCATCTCTACGACTTGACTTTACTCAGCAAAGACCAATTTTACCAGGTTGTATAGATTTAGTCAGGGGTTTTAAATATCTGCTATACTGTAAAGTAAACAGTCTATATAGGGAAAATAAATATTTGGCGATCTATTTAAAAAACATTTTTTCTGTTGTACCCTAGGCATTTTGGTGCTTTAATGAAATTATTTGTTAGAGATAAAAGTTGAGTAACAGGTGCCCTGGCACTTCAGCTGAGGAAATAAGGAACTTGTTCTTACCCAGACCTATACCTGAAAAGAGAGGTTGACTTGGTGAATTGGTCTTCCCTGTGTGACATGCGTAGTCCCTCAGGTTCCCTACAAGGTAGAGGAAAGGGCTGAAGGGCTGTCTTGACTGCTCTTGTTTTTGTGTGGATGTTTTCTTGTGTCATACAGGTGTTGTATAAAGAAAACGTCGGGAAAGGGATCCCTATTCCCATCACTCCAGAGATGGAGAGAGTCAAACACAATCAAGAAAACTTTAGTTCGGTATTTGAAAGAAAAAAATTCTTTTAACTTAAAAAAATTTTTTAGAAGATTAATGGCTAAACATTTAAAAAAATCTAATCAACTCATCCAAATAAAAAGTTGACACAAGTCTTGCTCACAACTTAATGTTGCCATTTCCTATGAATCAGTTTCCTTATTTTGGTTAAACATTAATATAACCATTTAACTTAAAAGAAAAAAAAAGTACTTCATATTACATTTCAGCTCTTAAAAATGTTAACATTCACGTGTATTCTGCTTTGACAAATTTGGTGTGAACATAAGGCTTAAAAAAATATGTTCTGCAAAGGTCGAACTGTTGGTCTCATTTCTGATACTAACCCTCTCTGTTTCTACTGGTGTTTGGACAAATACTTTGTAGTTCTTTTTTTCTCAGCATATTGTCATTGCTCTCCAAATGCCTTAAAAGTAATTTTCCCTGTATGTTCACCCAAACTAAAAATCAAATACTTTGGCTTCTTTTGAAAGTCACAAAAGAAGAGCTGTGTGTATATATCTTCATATATACAAAGTTTACAAACCCCACATAAACTTATGTGGTTTATTAATAGCATTTCCAACTCAAAAATAACTTCTATGGTTTTTTAATCCTCCAGCCCCATCTCTATCCTTCCTAATCACCCAGCGAAGACTAACTGTTCCTTTTCACAGTGATCATGTCTGCCTGGTAGTGCAGTGATTAGTGTAAACAATGACAAAACTTTCTTTTTGTATTTATTAGTTGTTGCTATCTTCCTGCATTCTCTTGCTTTTAAGGACATCATTGGGCTCATACCGGTTGCGTGTTAAAACTTCTAGAATTGCCCTTCCAACTCACTTTTCTTCCTCCCTCACCTCCCACTCCCAACTGCTCCAAGAGAAAGACCAATTGCTTTCTGTTTTGGATGATTTCTTATCACACAGGTGCTCTACAAAGAAAACCTGGGAACAGGAATTCCAATCCCCATCACTCCAGAGATTCAGAGAGTCAAACACAATCAAGAAAACCTTAGCTCGGTATTTAAAAGAAAAAAATTCTTTGAACTTAAAACTTTTTTTAGAAAAAAAGATTAATGGCTAGATGTTTTCATCTAATCGACTTATCCAAATAAAAAATT